CGCAGTGATTTAAAAAGGTTTTAAACGCTTTTATTGAATTTGATTTCCTGTCGTTAAATTTTTCAACTGCAAATTTGAATACTTTTTATAATCGTAAGTAAGTTTGTCATACGTGTTCTGCACGTATGACAAAGCAAGTCAAGCAAGAGAGTCAAGCAATAAGAGTCAAGCACTACATGGACCGGTCCTAGCATGTATCCCCGGTATCAGGCAGGGAAAGGGTCACCAGTCAAATGTCCCCAGAGAGGCTAGAAATATGTTGATCATGATACACACCAGGGGTCCCAATCGTAGACGGTAGATTTTAAGTAAATTTTTTCTGGAATCACCGCTAAACACTGATCAGCTACGGTCACCACTCCCGGTAGCCAGAGAGCACGGTGATGGAAGCTATGAAAGTCTGGAGATCTGACTGGTTCTCAACAATGTGGCCTGTCAGTGCTACTCGAGATGCCCTCCAGTGAAGGGAATTATACAGTAAACTATATGGGATTCTCCACACTCACAGCGAGGTACTGACGCCTCAAAAGAACGGATTCACGCCAAGTCACTTCCGTGGCCCAATGAGCACATCACGGAGCAACCGAAACCTCGTTGTTCAATATTTTTGACTTCCTGATGCCAAGGCCAAGTCACTTGAAAAGTACAGATCTCTGGCCTGTACTCTAGTCGAGCACCTGGGGGTAAATTACATTTATAAATTTTTCAAACTTTAGAAACGTCAGTATCTTTGTTGAGATTGTATAATAATACAGTAATTAATGATGCCATTCGTCTTGTTCTTTGCAACTGCAAAGCTGGTTCAAACAGCAGGCACAAGCTATGTTTTTCAATTTAAACATTTTTCCTTGCCGTTCATTGACTAGCTTCTAAAAAAAATCAGGCGATAAGTCAAGGTAACAAACGGATCATATTACTACTGCAGATATCAAGTGCGAAACGATATGCTTCTGGAAGACTAAGCAGATAGATGATTCGAATATTGCCATAGAAACTCCGTTTCTTGTTTCCGACGGCTCCGATATCACTTGACTACTCCAACTGGCCCCCCCATTAGCACAGCGGTGAATCTGCTGAATACTAGTAGTTGGTCTGAGATTCGGGCTGACTTCTTGGGTGTTTTCGTGGTTTTCCTCAGGTATAATATGTATACGAACCTGCATTCCATATAAATTCCTCCACGAATATCTCTCTCCTCTTAGGCAGGTAGGCCTCGTGCGCTTTGCCATAATCAAGGCGCACTCTAAGGCCTTAGGCAAATATCCTTCGAGCGGTTCGACGTAATATGAGCAATCCTGAACTAATGCGTGTATCATGAAAATCAGTTAATAAATCTATACGAAGCCCAATTAGCATAATTAATTACGAGTAACTTACTTGTTATGAATGTAAATGGATGTTATTTAATGCAGAAAAATTACACTACACTGTTGAAATACTGTTGAAACGAAAATAATAATTCCAAATTTGATATAATCAGTTACGTATTTTTCGAATATATTACTATGATGTTTATACGTCCTTATTCAAACTTAGCCGAAAGAGCGCATATAGCAGTTATCTTATTGCAAAAACACAGAAATGGAAAAATTGCGCTGCAGGTTTATCCAACTTTAACATATATAAAACGTTCCCGTAAAACATATCGCAAGCCGAAATGAACTAAAACGAAGAAGCAGGTACCGTTAAGTTTTGTGGGAAATGTACTGAATACTCCTACATTTCCTAATTTGCGAATAATATTAAAAATTTCTTAAAATATAAAATAACTCTAAAAATATTAGAACAAAAAGTAACACATGTCCTAGGAAGGTTCATCTTTCGAAACAAGAACCAGGAGTACTTTAAAAGGAATCAAAGGTCCTCTCACTGTCAAACGAATTCGACATTTTAGGCTACGAAAATGATATGGCGACCGGTATACCACAAAAGCGCAGAGAGAGAGGAACGTCTTTAATTCCTTATAATGATGTTTGTATTAAGCAACTTATTTTATTATAATAGGACATACAGCGTCTAAAACCTAGGAGAGAAAAAGGACTAATATATTTTTGTTTCTTTTATTCATAGGTTCACCTTTTCCGTAATATCTATGCCTGCCTTCGTCTAGCGTGAAAATCGAGATTTGTTCTATTTTGTGGTGGACATAAAAGTCTTTAATAGAAGTCCACCAATGGTTGAGTGTTTCAGACCGCTAAATACTAGTAGTACGTTGATCAGAGTTGGGGTTTCGGCACCCAAGCTAGCTGCGAAAGTGTCTTCGTGATTTTCTCGCATATAATACGAGCCATTTTACGTTAGAAAGTCCTTTACGAAAGCAAAGAACCCTCGTGTGCTTTGCCGTATTCAGCTAAACACATCGAAGCATAAAAGAACTGCTGTTTCCTAAACCTTTCTCCTAAAAATGCCTTTTTTTCTATCGAATACAGGATTTCTAGAAAAGAACTGATGAGATAGGACTACGTCTATATTGGAAATTAATTTACTGTTTTGTCGTTTTTAGTCAGTTGTTTTGTGGTCTACCTCAGTGTGAGAGCCAGTTATAACTCAAGTTAAGTCTAGGTGATACTCAATCTCATTACATTCGTTAAAAAGCTTCAAATGCGTGCATAGCCCTATAGTTTCCGTAATTTAGGCACCTAAATAAAAAAATTTTAAGTCATCTTCTTGTCTGTCTTTCCGGCGAATAAACCGTTCGAGTTCTTCTTTCCATCTACATAAATCACAATGAAATAAACAAGTGGATTTCGGATGTATGTATTGTTCATTTTTAGTACTTTTTCCAGATATCGGTATTGCATTGGCAAATTAATTGGCCTCTAATACTCTCCTTGCGTGTTTTTTCAAAATTAAAGTTAATGCTTTCTGTAGTCGTTAAATAAAACACCAACTGAATAATAATTTCCTTTTTTGCCTTTCTTCGTAAAAGCCGATCTTTTCAAATTTCTTTTATTAACCGGAAACTTTCATTTTTTTGTATTACCTCAGGGGGTTTTTCAAAAGAATATTCGTAACGCGGAGGATCTTGATCTTGCATTTATAAAGTAGCATCATTATTATTAACCTATTAACCAGCAATGGTAATAGCAGAAGGTATTAATTTGCATTCGACTAAAATCTGCTACGAAATATACAGAGCATATCACCAGCTAAAGGGTTGAAACAATCAATCCGTAACTGATTTAATCGATCAATTTAAATCAATTACTACAAATCCGAAGTTTAGTAACGCCTTCGAAAGCAAACAAAATTCCCTCAGATTTGAATGTTATATCATTTAATACTTTAACACAAATATTATTGTACGATACTAGTTAAATTGATTGTCTTTGGCAACTAGATTTCCTTTCAGAAGTCAGCGAATATTCGCTGATTTCTGAAAGGCTAACAAACAAGTAAGGAGTAACAAGTCCAAAGAAGGGTTAAAATAACCTTTAATTCAACTCAAGAATATTTACAGTCCCTTCTCGGGCTTACAACAATGCTTACACTTGGGTTTTAACTTAAGATAGAAAATAAGAAACTAAACTAATGCTAACTAAACCTTAGCCGAAGCTACACAGAATTAACTAAAGGAATTGGCCCTTAATAAATCTCACCAGCGGATCTAACAGGTGCGTAGCAATATGAACGTACTAAAATTTGGCTTAAAGCAACGACCTGGCCAGAAGACAGAACACGCTCTGGTAAGCTTTTCTAGGTTGTTCTATGGAAGTGACTGAGTCTTCCCCTTAAATACTGGTTCTACCTCATTTATATAAAATGCGATCCTGAAAACTCATTCTGGTAGGAAATTGTAGGTGGAAAACAAGAAAATACAGGAAAGCTGTTTAAAATTAAAAAATAACTATTGGGAGATTAAAATAAACCCCTGCACTATCAAATTCAGATGGCTTCATAAATTTGTTTTCTCGCAATAAAATGGCTTTCTCTTTCGTCATTTTATAATCAGCTATGTTGAATCATGTCCATTAAAGTGAAGACAGAATAACTGACGATTTTACTGCACCGAAGTTTTTATATTGATTTTAGGCCTTAGTAGGTGGTCATCGAATTGAGAAAATGAGCTACCGAAAAGAATGTAATGAAATATTTTAATTTTGTCTCTATGGACTAGATATTCTCCTAATGCTAACTATTTAAAGCTAAATAAACTTTGAATATTTGTTCACATATTACAAATTAAAGAAAATTTGAATACAGGGGAACAAGAGTGTGCGCATTTATATGCTCTTATACGAATACATTCGAAAGCTTTCTACACAAAAAATATTATTAGTAGAATATTTATTTTTTATAAGCCACGGCTCCAGTGAAATGATTGTATTCTTATCAGCAAACGTAATACTTGTAATTTTGGTAAGGTTATTTGCATATGAGAAAGCACACGAAGACTATCTGCGTAGGGAATACCTTCGTGGATAATCATTCTGAGGAAAGCTAGCTCATAGTCACGTTACACATGTAGGAAACCACGAAAACTACCCATGCAGATAGCCCGTTTGCCCGCGATCGAAACCTAGTCGAATTCTCAGCATTCAGAGGTGATAACCACTCAGCCAGTTTAGTGAGACTCAGCCGCTGGTGGGATCACTGATGGGAACAGTTTTGAAGGAATTGCTTATTGCGTGGTTAAGAACAGATGACGAATTTTCTTTGTTAAGCTAAAAACTACAAAATCAAAAGCTAGCTGTTTTAATGCAGTTTTATTTATATCAATAACTGTTTTGTAAAGTGCATTGAATGTGAATGCGAAAGTAAAGAGTTCCTGTTTCAATGATTGCTTTATCTCTCATCCTATCAAGAGGATATTATTGGTAATTCTTTTTCATTATTCATCCCCTAAACCGCAGATAACAGTCCTACCCACTATAATATTTTTTTAAAAAAACTCACTGAAATTGATTAGTTGCATCCTGTAATAAATTTTTCTTACACATGACAGTCAGCGATCGCATTTTCATTGTTAGGATAAAGAAATAACGTCTTTATGTTTTTACTGATAGAGTGTGTAAACAATTCAAACTGACTTTGAAAAGTAGCGTGATACGATTCATCAGTAATATATAAAAATATCTTCGAATCTGAATAAGTAATAAAAAGGTTCCATTTAAAACCTTGTTAATCGATTTTTCTCTTTGCTACTGGACAGTCAGTGGTATAGGTGAAAGGTAAAGGCCATTTTTTCTTTGGTGTTATTATATTTTTAGCGTAATAATTTGTTGGAAAATGATTTTGTCATTGATTTTTTTGCATCATTAATTAACATTAGAAGAATCGTAAAACCTTGATTCACTTACTTTAGACTATCTATTTATATTTACTGTTTATTAAACTTCATTAAAGGAAAAGGAAAATAAAAAAAGATGAAGAAAATCAGTTGATATTTTACGTTAATCCGTTACCAATCAAGTGCCGTCCCTAAGACTACTCCGTCCGCAATAAATTTCCCGCATCTGTTAAAGTGTCAGTAACGAATTGTAATTGTTTAAAGTCATTTTTTGGCTAGTCGCAACCAATTTTGTTCGTATTCCTGTTTGTGGAGCTTTTTAATAATTTACAATCTCATACATGTCAATTTCCTTTGCGAACTAAAAGTGTTCAAATGATAGGTTAAGACACCTTCAAATGATAGGATAGGGCTTTTTAAACTTTTTTCAGTCGCGACCCCTTTTTATCACTGAGATTTTTTTCGCGACCACCAGGACCCCCATAATATTTACGAAAATTTTGTGGGACCCTACAAGCATTGCGCAAATCCGACACACGCTTGAGTGAAACTGTCAGTTTTTTCACTTGTACTGTAATATATTACTGCAGTTTTAAGTCATTAACTTTAGTTTCTAATTTTAAGACATAGAAATATGTGAAAATTTTAAAGTAACAAACGAAATGACAGCGTCACGTGCAAAGCAAGGAAAATGAACGTTTATATTATAAAAAGAATGTGTCGAAACGTTTTCGCTTTTTTTTTTTTTTTTTCTTTGTCTGTATTGTCTTATCTTTATCTTTTTTTCAGATACATTGTGTAAAAATATTTGGTAGTTATAAAATTATTATAAGTTAAAGAAATATAAAACTGCTAAAATTTTTGGCAACCTCCTGCTGCAGGTCCCGCGACCCCCATGGGGATCGCGACTCACAGTTTAAGAAACTCTGGGTTAAGAGTTAACATCTGACAAATGTTATAAACAGGCATGCTGAAATAAAAACCAGCTCAAAATAGGACAAACCAACAGTATCTTCTGTGCTTAAAGGAAAATAATATTAGTGGTTATCATTTAATGAAGCCAGACCCTATTTCGAGAAATACAATGCTTACAATAAAATATTTTTAATGAAAATAATTTTAATTTAAATATATTTTGCTTCAGAAACCTTGACGAATTTACGAAAATGTTTAACAGATGACCAAGATTACACATTCACATATATTTTAGCGGCCCGATTACTTTTTTAAAAATTTTTTAAAATTTGTCAGAGCACAAGATTTGAAAACAAAATTTATTGTTTTATCTAATCATATTCGCAAAAAGGAAACTAATGCTAACCATTCTTTTATCAAACTAAGTGAAACATTAAATTGTCAAAATCTTGTAACTTTGAGTTTCAAACATTAAATCGATTCAAAAAGGGAATTAATTTAACAATTTATACTTACATAACTTCTTTAACAAAGATACAAATAAATTTTGTAAACTAAAGATAATAATCATTTAATTACTTACATAAACAAGTATATAAAATTTGTATTTTTAATATAATAAAATCAAATTTTGAGGTTTTTCAGTGCTTTGCATAAGTGAAATTAAACTCTTAAACACAGACTAAAAACATCGGTGGAGAATACTTCTTTTCTTCCTTCTCCTCCTAATAACTTTTCATAAATGAGGAAGTTGCAGAAAAAATATGAGAAATCTGCGACTATACATTCGTCGATACACTTCGGGGAATGGTAAGAGAAAATTTCACGGTAGACATAAAGATCGTTGAATTTATTTCCTTCTTTAATCACGTAGAGTAACACAAACCATATTAAAGTTTAGATGTAAATGTTACTATGAATAATCTAAATTTGTTACTTTAACCATAGAAATCGTTTTTGAATTTAATAACAGTATCCCATGTATCAGCGGAAAGGTGTGTATTTAATTTTAATTAAAAATTCTTAGTTGTAATTAATATACTTCTTAGAATTTTGTAATTTCGTAATTTTAAGAAAATACATTTCTCTTTCTAAGCAAATGAACTTTGTCGCTTTACATTAAAATCTGATCTGCATCATACTGTAGAGCAAATTATTTACTAAGTTAAAATTTTTATCTGTTTTACGCTTCACACGAAAGGACATAACTATTCGAATACACGGCTTAGGAATTTTACTACATGCAGAACAATCCAAGTTCTTTTTTAATATAATTTATATTTATAATTATCAATTACATAAGATAAAATCAAGTAAGATTTTGCAAAAGATAAATTAATAATTGCAGGTCGAAGGGCACGTGGAAATATAACACGTCGAAGAACCAATGTTAAAGATACTACAGCAACAAGAATCAGCATAACTTGCGTAAATTTACCGGATTGAATTTTAAACAGAACCTTATTAACTGAAAGGGGGAAAATGCAATTGGTGAAGAAGGTTCTATTTAAACTTAGAAACTACGGGTGGGAAAACTTATGCAATTTACTAGTTCTTTTATTGCTATAGTACCTTTAACGCATATATTTAACAAATTAATAATGATTACTTTATTAAACGTTTCAATTAAAATTCAATATAATAAGCCACATTTCATTATACCCACAAAATATATTAATAAAAATTTCAGATAAATATATAAAAAATTATTCATATATACTGCAAACCAAACTCGCAATAATTACCCCATTGTGTTTCAAATGCTAATTTTCTGATCTTACATTATTTTCATAAAAGTTTTACTAGTGCTCCAAAATTTACTTTTCATAAAACTACAGCTGTAATTACTTCCTATGAAAGTGCTTTTTTACATCTATGTTAAAATCTTGTTTCAAAATTCGGTATAATGAAATAATATACATGTTTGATATCTCTGTAATGAAATGTTTAACTTAAGAACCAAGAACATTAAAGATTATATTTCGCTCTCGTAGGATAGATCATGATTATCATATGATAAGGTATGTATCATTTCCTTTTATTAAGTATTATAATATGTGCTTTTAATTTTTTGCTGCCTAAGATAGTAACTGCAGAAATTTATAAAAATTGCCTTAGTTAACTTTTCAAATCTCAAGTAATAATTATTTATTTCAATCACTAATGGTATTTATGTAAAAAATAATTTACTTCGGTAAAAAGAAAATAATGCATTATTATTCATGAGGTACAGTAAATAAACAATTTTAGAATATCTGATTTCTTTAACGTTTCTAGGCTAAAAGCTGAAGAAAAATTTCAGAAACTCAAAATAAAATTACCCGATAATTACTTAGCTGAGTCTAAAGATTATATTTTTTAAGTGCAGTATACAAATAAATTCCTTACTGAAAATGTAATTGTGAACTAATGTATATGTCTATGTATTAAGATAGGAATTTGGAGGAAAAAAGACTATAGAGAATTTATTTCCGTAAGACAACTATATTTTTTGTCTTTCTAATTTATAATAATCATATAATAATTTCATTGATAAACATAGAATGCAGCAATATAGTATAAATTACTAAATGCTATATAGAATAAAAAATATAAAATATACCCCAAGTTTAAAGGTAAGAGAAATTTCAGAATGATAATTAAGTATTCTATCACACAATAAAGAAACAATTTTTTTACAATTTAAAATAGCTTATTAATAAATTAATTTAAATCTTCGAGCCGAGCATTTAGATTTATCGAATCGCTGACACTTTCGTCAAAGTATTTAATGCATCCTGTTAGTGTTAAAATAGTGGTATTTAAAAAAATTTTGCAATTCTATATTTGTTTAGCAAAATCAATAAAAAAATCTTTGTCCTATTCCAGGCAATAGAATAAAGTAAAAGCAAAAGTAAGCGTATAATAACCTCAACATTCATTTTCTTTGTAATGAAATTTCATTTTCGAATAAATGTAGTGTAGTCATTTGGTTTGAGTAATTAAAAATAGTGTAAGTTTTAATAATATTAAAAGTAATTGAAAAAAATCAGCGTTTCGAATGAACAAAATATACGTCTGGAAACATCATGAAAACAATTTGAAGAGGATGATAACGCAGTTTTCAATTTGCCATTTCCAAAACGGTGATAACGTTAAATTTACATCACATGAATTGGAAATACTAACAATCGTTCAACGCTCCCATCTTCTTTGAAAATGAATTATGAATACACGATGCGACGCTCTAAAAATATGAGTTTAGCGAAGGGAAGCCAAGCGAGTACAATGGCCATCTATGTAGTTTAGGTCAATTCGACGCTCCTCAAGACACTGAATGATGATAAAAAATTCACAAGATTGGTCCTTTTGATGTGAATCGAGACCGACTTATTGAGAAATATGCTTCGAAGTTTCCCCGATCTGTCCAGCTTTCCTAAATGCTACCGAAAACCTCAAAGTCAAGGACCTGTAAATGTTTTGCGTTGTAGGATGTTGTCGTGTTTCGGGTAATAAATTCTGTCCTTGTCACTCTCAAATTCGTCGCGCAGGTTAACTTTCCCTGGAATACTTTGAATCGGATAAAAGTTCCAAGTAGTAATCTACTGAAATGTTTCCATGAAGACTGCCGTGCAATATCAAAGCTCATAATACTGATCATTTATTTTCATTCAGGTTCAAAGAGTTGTAAGTCAGAGGATCAGCGAAGATGATGTCAGTCCGATGTTTTCGAGTCGTTGCCATTTTGTTAGTCGTTCCAAATATAATTACAAGTAAGAATCTTGAACTGCTATTTATTCTGTCTGTCTATTATCGGTAAATTTACTGCTCATTTCCTTTCATTTCCATGTCATATAATTAGAGTACGAAACAAAAGGTATATCTTCTTGGTTATTTCTTATTTTCTTCTTTGTAGAATGAAAGAATTTGTAATGATCTCCCCAAAATTAGAGTTAATTTTTTTATTAAAATTATACTTTTTGAAAAACTGAACTTGAAACTTTAATTCTAAGTATATAATTCGTTTATCTTTAAGAATTATTCAAAATAATTATTTCCATGGTCTGCAATAATCTGATTTTCATTCCTTCTTGTACATCTGAGTACATTTATATAATACTAAAACTTGAAGAGACTTCTAAAACATTTTTGAGCGGTTATCATTATTTTAAGCAATGAAACGTTTTTACGAAGTCATTATACATAATGGACCAATTATATTCAAAATGTTTCAGTGAATAAATATACAATTTCGAATAAATTATATGATGACTCGTGAATTCATAATATGCCACAGATTTCTATAAATGAGAACCAATGAGTAAATGTTGGCGAATTTCAATATCAGTTTTAGTTAACTGAAACAATAAGACTTTCAGATATGTTCTGTGGATGGCGTCAAAATAATCCATCGCCTTTAAATGCATTACCCCAAAGAAAATGACAGTGTAGCACTTTTGACGCTCCAGGCGATTAATAATGTTAACGTTTCCCATAAATGTAAAACATTAACAATTCAAATTAAAATATTTTATCTAGTTGTCACTTTCGAGAACAGCTTAGGTGATTCCTTCAATTTTTGAAGGCCCAGGCGGCTGTTAATGTTGCCTGAGCATGGAGCCGATTCTGATTATTGTTTACCAAAATTAAGACGGAAATCAGAAGGTTATACTAGAAGCTAGAGTATAATTGATGCTTGCATTATAAATACAGAAAAAAAACATTGCTTGTGCAATAATATAGACTATTATGTTTGTATTATAATAAAAAAAGACGATAGTAAAATTTGAAAGGTAGTTTTCTTCATGTCGTTATAGAATTCAAATTCTTAGAATTAATATGACTACTAATACATCATCTTTAAAATTTTACTGAACATTTGAAGTATTGCTGATATCATAAAATTCGAAGATTCTTGCTTGAATTTCGATTATATTTAGTGTTTTACACTGTATAAAATAAATAAACGCAAAAATTAACAAACAAAATCAGGTATATCCAAAGAAATAGTTTTAGTTTTCGCTTGCTCGTAGCTCCAGTATGTTTAAAAGGCATCAAGGTAAACAGCAATGGTTTGAGCGGTTGTTATGTAGCGAGGGAGGAGTTCAGATTTATAAGGTTCCGTAAATTTAATGAGAGACGATATTATTGCGTAGTTATGAGAAAAAAATAGTGTGAAGCTTCTATCATTTTATTAACCTGAAAACTGGAAAATACATATAATAATTGTGAAAGATCAAATCGTATTTTACGGTATTAAAAGTTTAATTATTCAACTCTAAATAAATAACTACAAGAAAGAAAATTACACAGAATGTTTTTAAGAGGTAGAACATCTTTGCAGGAGAGTAGAGAATGACCAGGAAAAGATAGTGGTATAATATCATGATAAAGTGGAACACATCAAGATTTTGACAATATAGCGAAATTTACAAAAGGTTTAATGACATAATGAAATACTTCCCAATATTTAATCATATAATGGAAGTTTTCATTATATGATCAAGTACTTTAATTAAATTCTTACAGTGAAGCACACTATTTGAAGAGTGCTTGCTCATTTTGAGCTTTCTTTTAAGGATATGCAAAGGTTAAATTTTATTTCTACAGGACTTTGCAAAAGATAAGAGATGTTTTCAGGCCCGGCTCCAGCATTTTTGTCACTCAAGATAATCAGTACAGTTAGCACGCCATATAAATTTAGCATATTAATAATTCACAGCAAAATATATTTTTATTTATTTCTTGCTTATGAAAGCCACTTAGCTGGCACCCACCAAAAATCGGTACCCTATGTGAAAGCCTATGTAGCCTATGCTTGGAACAGGCTTTGGATATGTTTCGCAGTGTGGCTGCAAAGCGTTTCAGTATTACTGCAGAATGCTATTCTAGATATGAGCCATACGGCCATTACATGGCCTCCTTGAGTATAAGGGCCCATATTTTGTCACTGCTGTTCTTGAAATAGAAAAGTTTTAGAATACTAAGTTCCAGACCAATGATTCTGTTAAGACTACCTTGTTACTGTTACCATTAAAGTCAGGCCATGTAGTTTCTGAGTAGTAGAGCAGGAAAGTGACTTTAATATTGACTTAGTGAATATCATTTCTGCAAAGTTACTAAAAGCACTTATATTAAATTTGAATTATTTTCAATAAAATTCAAGGTTAGACTACCCCTTCAGTGAGATAAAAATCATTCATATATTGTTATTTACTTTATGGATGGGGTGCAAAGCTCTCTGAACATGTGATCATATATTTATGTATGATATTAAACCATACATTTCGACATGCATTATTTTTATTGGAATGTACCTGATGAATATTTCATATTAAAATTATGCAAATACTTATTTTAAGGCAACAACTGTTTTTTTAATGGTATGGAGCAGGATTTCATAAACTAGAGTACACGTGCCACTAAAAGTGTATTACGTTATTTTAGTGCTTAGTTACCGAAAATTCAAATATTTGTTTTCATTTCAAGACGACTTGACTAAATTGGCGTCACAAATTCAGCAAATTAGAAGGGTACCCACCGTAAAGGCACAGTCATCAACGAGGTTTCCTGCAGTGGTATTAGCTAAAATTAACTAAATGCAAATGCGAAAACCAGGGCGTCTCTAGGAATATCAAAATAAATTAAACTATCATACTTTTCGATTGGGTTTGGATATATTAGTTTTACCTGGAATATGTAGTTTACAACCACCATAGTTATCAATCGGCAGCTTTTGTCTAGTACATGCTATATCTTGTCACGCGACTGCATATTTTAAGCATAGCTGTAAGTTAACATAATTAATTTTTTTAATTATTTGAGCTTCATGATACCTAATTTTTACTTTATTAAAAATTTTAATTGCAAAAATAGATCAATCATTTTCGAGTATGGGAAATTCCACTGAATTTATATTAAGCATAAAATTGGTATATCATTTTATTACTTTTATTCAATTTTTCAAAAAAGATTACTTTCATGATGAATACAAATATGAAGCAATTTTCTTTTTCTTTTCTTGTAGATGGTGCTTCGAAGTCTCACAAGGTCGTCTGTTATTTGGGAAGCTGGGCAAATTACCGAAATGGAGAAGGAAAGTTCCTTATCGAAGATATCGATCCCTTTCTCTGCACACATTTAATTTATGGTTTTGCAAAATTGAGTTATGACAACAAAATTGCAGCTTACGATCCATACCTAGACCTCAAGGAAAACTGGGGACTTGGTAAGTAGAATAGTCTCTTTGTTCAAGAAATCATTTCTGACATTCATATTTCAAAACGCTGGTCATTATTCTTTTGAGAAAATTTGAAAGAACCTAATGATTAATATCTAATTTTTATATTTTTATGCTTTATTTCGTTCTTGCTTCAACTTGGCTTCCGATATAGAATACTAATAAGTCAGAGAAGAAGATCGATAAAATATATTAAACATAAACTGTGCATCGATACACTGTATATCGATCGTATCGACAAGAGAAATGTGTTCTAAAATCTTCACATCATAACTAAGTATAAAAATCATAATGTTATTTTCAAACCAAAGAAGTTTTCTTAAAAATCAATCTTAATAATAGTACATATCTATAATTATATTATCTATATAATTTTGTATGATCTTAAATCTTTAGTGCGAAAACAAGTTACTCTACTTGCGCAATTGCTGCAAAGTAATTAATAATAATTAGTTCCTAACAATATTGATTAATTCATTATATTATCTCCTAATGTTATTAAGTGAATTTTTTAAAGAGTGAATCCATACCGTAAGTTATATTTTCAAAACTTTTTGAAGTAACTTAAGTAAATGTTAATAATGTTTTTAACGGGGACTGGAATTAACTCACATGATAAAATTTCATTGTAAAAGGAAAATTAAATTAAAAGCAATCATTGTCATTGATCGGAAATTAGTTGACTTTTCAAGGGGAAAAACACTCCGTACCGATAATAAGTTAAGCCAAACCGGCAATTCTGTCAGGCCAAGATTTCCGCTATGAAGGGATTATCACCAATTCTGATACTCATTCTATGAGCATTTTATAAAGGCCAATTTTGAATGAAAAGCATTTCCTTAGAGAAATCCGAAAAAACTCGAGTACCACCCCCGACACCCCCCCGTGTTTATGCATTTCAGTTCTAATTATTTAAAAATTAAGCATGGAAATTGTCATTATAATAGTATAAAGTTGATTACACATAGAATAAAATAAAATAAATAAACAATGCACTTTGTAAAAACAATCAAAAAATATAAATAAAAATATATAAGACATGAATATACTTAGATATAAGCCCATAAAAAGTATTAAGACTCTTGCACTCCCCACTAAAAGAATGTAGTTACTAAATACTTTTTCTACCTTTATATCTTCATGTACATCACTGTTCTTATATCTTTTTTATTTTTTATATTTTTTGATTTGTTTTTAAAGTTTGCATTATTTATCTTATTTTGTACTCTTCTATGTTTATATAAACTATACTTTGAATTTCTATTTCATAATGACAATTTCCAATGTTTAATTTTTACAAATAATATAGAACTCAATGCATAAACAGGGGTGTCGGGGCGGTTACTCGAGTTTTTCGGATTTCTCTACAGAATTGCTTTTCACTCAAATTGAATTGCTAAAACTAAAAAAGTTCTTTGAGGAATTGGTGCAATCCCTTTTTCGCGGAAATATTTGCCTAGAATTTAGCTTACCTTATTACTCGAAGACGAACACCTTCGTATTTCGTATTTATTTATTAGTTATTGTTCTTGAACGGGAGTTGGTTGTTCCCCTTGAAAAGTCAACTAATTTCCGATCATTGACAATGATTACATGTTTAATAATTTTACTTTTACATTGAAATTTTGTTCTGATGATTAATTCCTCCGTTAAAACATTATTAACATTTTCTTCAAGTTACTTCAAAACAATTTTCAATAGCTTACCAGTATTGATTCACTCTTTAAAATAATTCTATTTAATTAACTTAGGAATAATATAATCAATTATCAATTTGTTTAGAAATAAATTATATATATATATATATACAGGCAAAAAAACCGTAATACAATTAAACTTATTTTAAAGCACTAGAAAAATGTTGGTATATCTGATAAAATACGATAAATTCCGTTTCATTTCATCTTCATTTCTGCTTTAATTCATTATCTTGTTTTACAAACTCCTTGTTTGATATATTACCTCCTAGAGCATTATGAAATTTCGTAATTATTTCTTTCTACCGGTTTTGGAATTTTTATGTTTAATTGAAACAGCACGGAAAACGTGTTGGCTTAAAGAAAGAGATATCTATCTTCATGGAAGTTGTTTTTGAGGGGAACTGTCTCACATTAATTTTAAGCATGAGATAAATCATGAAAACTAATGAAGGTAGCCGTACGTTCACCGGAATTTGATTCTAGATCGCGTTACCAACGTTCAACGGTATTATATGGCTACCAATAAAAAAACGAAACCACTGCAAAATTACTAGGGAGTCACAAATATTTCAGAAAATCTTTTCTCTTTATAAAGCTGTAAAGTTACTGTTTTTACTATTTTATTTCCTGTTTATTACTGCAACTAATATAGCGTCACAATAGTTACCTAATTCCTTTCTCAATTCCACTGGAGAAATCGTTATCAGTTACTTCTGGATACCTTATTGTGCGTTTATCCCATACGCTTTTCAGTACTGCTCTTTTTCTGCTTGTTTATTTTAAGTCTTTTTATTAATTGTGTGAATTTTAAATTTACATTGTATTTATTAAATATTTAAGTTATGATGTATAACTGAAATTTGCAACTAAATTTTCCTGAGCTTGAGCGATTAAGACGACAACGTGGAACTGGCATACTATTCTCTATTTTATGCTGGAATTATCTTTCATTTTGCATGTGTTCCTTCCGAAGATTTCAAGGTCCAATTCTTAAAACTGCCTATCTCAGGTAGACACTATGTTGCAGACTATTTTAAATAGTTGTATGTTGCTAATGCAAGAACTGCTAACTTCAGCCTTAAGAACTAGCAGATTCCACCTGTTTCTGCCGCTGATTTTAATTTTAAAGTCTCAATGCATTTCAAGAAATAAGACATTATTTTAAAGTCTTTCTGATACAGGAAAGAAGGCCGTTCTGCCCATGTACACAGATCCACTCGTTCTATACACAATGAAGATATCTCATTCTTTACTGGAGAATCCTGAAAAGAAATGCAAGCTGACAAATAAAATCAAATTAAGGAAATTAAATATGGGAATATTTTAGGTATGGAGAATTTCAATTAAATTTATGAAAAAAGCTTTTTGATTTTACTGAATGCAAAAGACTTCAATAAAATTTTATTCAGTTGGTTGAGGAACATTACGGATAAAAACAGAAATGAAACAAACAAAGTAAGACATAAAATTCAACAAACCAACAACCTTGTATTTGGCGAAGATTTTAGTTAAAACTCTATCGATTTCGAAGGCAAAGATGTACAGGTCTTCCTTCGTCAGGAGTTGAAATCTGCAACAAAGGGAATGCCACGGTGGTATTTATACCCGTTTCCCTTTGTTGCGATTTCCCGGCTCCGCGTCATCTGTCAGAAAAACAGTAACGAAAGGAGAAAATTTAAGTTAATAAAATTTTAAAAGTGTTAACACTGTACTGGGATTTCCTAAACAAGATACATCCTTAATAAATGTGAAAAGCTTTAGGAAAATACAATTCACCAATGGAAGAAGCTTTCTGGATAATTTTTGCATCCAAAATCAAAATTCTAATAGTAGTCCGCTAATAATGGTTCGTAATTTAATAATAATTTTGACACCTGGTCTGCAAAAATTATTTGATTGTTGAATTGGATTTTCTTGAAGTTTTTATATTCATAAGGATTTATCTTGTTTAGTTAATGACTTTAATTCCAATCCCCTCCTTCCTAACGTTTTTAAAATTCTATTAACTTAATTTTTCAATTTTTGTTGCTATTTATGCCGACAGACGGCGATACGTTCTTGTTCACTTGGCTGCTTTTCGAGATTAAATACTATCGTGGCTTCTTCTTCATTGCGGTTTTCTTTACCCCTGATGAAGAGGGTCCTGTACCTGTTTGCCTTCGAAATCGATAGAGTGTTGACTAAAATCTACGACAGATACAAGGTTGTTTCTTTGCAAACATTATGGATAATTTTTAACAAAAGGAAGAACGTTTGAGAGACCAGTGATTATTAATAAAGTATTTAATATTATGTATTCTTCCTTTATGTCTTAAGATTCACGGTCGTTAAAAAAATTTTAGTGCTGTCTAATTCGATTAATGCGATTGCAATACACTGACACAGAAGGAGACAAATAGTTCAAAAGTTAGTTTACCTATTTGACATGTCTTAAACAATGAACAACAAATTTTATTAACAGAAAAGAACAAATACTTGCAAACTGAATCGTAAAGAATTCTTGCGATTTTGTAAGTAATAGAAGAAAAACAATCTCTGCAGTCCTATTACCTTCCCTCTTCATTTTCATCGATTGTAAAATTTGTGAATTATTTCATTTTATGTTATCCATCTATAATATTTGTTCTCTTAACACAGAATATTTTATTACTCTTCTCATGAACGGTAAACTTTAGAAACTGTGATTTGTTTTAAATTTCAGGCGCTTATCAAAGATTTAACGAGTTGAAGGCAAAAAATCCGAACCTAAAAACATTACTAGCCATTGGTGGTTGGAACGAAGGCTCTACGAAGTACTCACAAATGGCTAGAAATGCAAACTCTCGAGGTGTTTTTATTAAAAGTTGCGTAGAATTCCTCTTGAAATATGGATTTGACGGACTTGACCTTGATTGGGAATATCCTGCTAATCGAGGAGGAGCTCCAGAAGACAAACAGAATTTTGCTGCGCTTCTAAAGGTATTGTCTAAAAAGGATTTTTTGCGCCAAATAATGTTCTTGTCACGTACCGCAGCAGAAAATAATTTATAGTGTGTAACTAATTGTAATTTAAAACCACATGAAGAGGTACGAGGATTTTAATTTCGTATATTCATTGCTGTTTTATTAATACATATATTATCCATGAATATAAATTCAAATTTATACTTCGAAGTTTGACAAATGCTGTCAAATTTTATAAAAAGTGAAAAATTTCACTTCAATCTATTAAAATATAATCACAGTTACTTTAAAAGAGGGAGCAATTACACAAATGAGCGAAAACTATCAAAATTTACAAAATTTCAAGTTAAGTGATATGTAGAATTTCAAATAAATATGCATCATCAATATGATAAAAATTGACAAAGTGTATTGAATTTCATTGCACTGGTAAACAATGGCCACAGTTTTTCAACCGGGTTTCACTGAAGATTCCTAGAGTTACCATTAGAAATCGAATGAATCGGAAACAATTCTGCTTAATATATTTACAAAATAAGTAAATCTTATTTCAACTAGACAGAGATTTACCAAGCTTGCAAGAAATTAAAAGTCATACAACTCATACGCTCTTGAGTAATGTTCATACATATTCAGCTAGTAATTAAGAAGAATCGGGTTGATTTTCTTATCAGAGAGAAATGACAATTTAATTCCAGTCTTGCGATTGCTAGCTGATTGTTCTAACCAGTACACCGAAAAAGAACTAGGTAACACCATCTTTCAAATTCGGGTTGAATTTCCGGTTGGGGAGCAGTTGATATTACATGGCATTTTTAAGAACTTAATGACTCTTCATGTTGTATGTTAAAATTTTTTAAAGTTATTAAACCAAATAAAGAAAAATAATTAACAATATGTTACAAAATATAATTTTTAGCTTTTTTTAATTCTAAACAAAAACTTGCAATACGCTATACGTCTCATTTAGCACAAGGTTTAAAAAATAACCAGGCAGAAATTTGTGAATAACTGAACTATTTTCTGCCTATGTTACTTGTCTGATTTAGAAGTGACATTCTTTATTAAGAGTACAATTTATTTAAAAAATAAGCAACTTAAAACGGTCTCACTAAAACCCACAGTAATTATCGTCATTTTCAAAGAACAGTTATCAACGAAATTAATTTCGAAGAAGTTATTTGCCGTTCATCTTGAGTAAACGTATAACACATACCTGTTTTTAGTATCTGTTGCTTTAGTGAGTACTGTATTTTATAAATCTTGAACAATCTAATATAACCCCAATTACAACAAGTTTTTGCAAGAATTTCTTCAACCTGCAGGTTATTTCAAGTGTCCGTACAGGGTTAAAAGTTAGAAGAATGATTAATGCTAACCAATTGCAAATTTTCCTTTTCCGTTCATTTTTATTATAAATAATTTTTTTTTCTCTCACTCATTGCATGAGTAGGTTATTGAGGATCTAAGAAGAGATGAGAGTAGGATGAATATGGGATTGAGTTTAAGCTTTGCTTTAGTAAGGAAAAGCTATCTTCTTTGATTTGTTGTTCTGTTTAAAGGTGAACTATGAAGATTTAATTGGTAGCTGCTACTAGTCACCTAAGGAAATTCATTTCCAAAGTTTGACTTAAAATAAAATGACTTTAATGGGAATAAGTCAAGGCGCGAGCCGAGTAACTTTTCGTAAGATATTTGTCATATTTTGTAACTATAATAAATAAATATATAGATATGTCCACACTATTGTCAGACTGCATGTTGAAACACACATTTTGTAAGGTTTCAAAATTTAAATCATATAATAAATTTAAGTCTTTTATTAAACTTGTATAATAAATTTAAGTCCTTTATTAAATTTGTGTACTTATATAGACGTTGATTGACTTAAGTCTGTCTGAAGCAATAGCTGCATAAATGACAGAGAAAAGAATATATTAAATAGTTAAATAAAATGTTATTCAGCTAAGATGCTAATGCTGTTCAGTTTAATTATGTTGGTTGCTTTATGTTAAGCTACTAATGGTACCAGATATGATGAAATGTTTGTAAGATCTAAAGTATTTCATTCCTGTTAAATATGATTGACATTTTGGTAGACTTTAAACAACTTGTCGCTTAGTCTAAAAAGTAAGCAATAAATTTTGCGAAGGGTGTAAAAGACCCTTTTATTTTAACTCAACAAGATGAACAGACGACACTACTGGTTAGTACAATTCTGCCAGCACTTATAGCAACGTAACATAGGAATTTAAAATGAAACTAAATTGAAGTACTTAACAGCCAAAGGCTACAGAAAGTAATTTGCGCTGAGCTGGTTCTAAAATCACTGGTGTGAATGTAAACTATCGGCAAACGGCAACACCGAAGACCTTATCTAAAATGGCAAAGCTAGTAATATGGCCTTCAAGCAGCAGAATGCGCTCTAACGTAACAATCTCCAACCTCACTTAAATACATGCTAATTGATTTGCATTCTGGATGAAAAGCGGAAAAAGAGAAGTAACAGTAAAGCTACCAAACATAAAATAACTAGTTATGTAAATTAAATAAACCTCATATGGTATTCCAAATTATTAAACTAAATTTAAGAACTAAAGCAAATTTTCAAATCATAGCAATATTTACTTTTTTGATATAAAATGAAGTATCTCATAAATTAGCAGATAAAATTAAGCATTGTAAAATTTTAATTTTTTAAAAGTCTCTCCAATTTAAATGAAATTAGTCTCAGTTATGTTTATGATCTTCCCATGTTCCCAGCTCTTACACAATTAGCAGTTTGTCGTTAGAGAATACTATCTAGTAATAGTATATCTTTATTTATATCTAGCCGCTACGCGGCCAGCCTTCGTCTGGCTTTTAAATATACCGGGAAAATGTCTAAAGCAAACACTAAACATTAAATTTAAAAATTGCGCACAATTTTTCCTGCAGAACAAAATTTTCAAAAACAAGCAAACAAACAAAAACACAAACTTCAATAAAAATGTATTACCTATAAAAAATTACAGTGAAATAAGTAATATTCCTTAATATAAATATTAGTTATCCTAATAAATAAATTAACCAACTTACCGTTGCCTTGTCTCGATAAACGTCCATCCAAGAGAAATATTAAATTTGAAAACTGCACAGAATTTTACTCTGCAGAAAAACCTTATCAAAAAAATCAATAAAAATGTATTATATATATATAAAAAATACAATGAAATAAGCAATATCCCTTAATACAAACATTAATTATCATACTAAATAAATTAATCAACTTCCCGTTGCAAAATCTTAAAAATTCAAATGGCATAAAGGAAGTTAAGAACGTTGTTTTCTAAACAAATCATGCAAAAGTTTTTATATAATTAAAAGTCTATTTAATTAAAACATAATATAAAAATACAATGAAATATGCAATAATTCTCATATTTTCAAGAGAAAACAGTCAGCAGTCCAGTATTCAAAACAATGAATGAAAAACTGATTCGAATTTTGAAAAAATCGCTTCAAGGTACACTGGATCTTGCTAGATTTATCTATGTACCAAATTTCGTAGCCCTGGGTCTATTAGTTTACGCGCAGCACGAACGGAGGACAGACATACACACAGACAGACTCTTTCTTTTATTATATGTAGAGATAAAGGGGTTACCTACAAGGGGTTACGTACGTTACAAAACAGACTACTGCTCACAAGAAACAACTAAGATCTCTAATTACTTTGTTCTGTACCTAAAATTAGAGTTTTAAATATAACTTACTGAAAAGATTGCATTCGATTATACAAATTTCCATTGATTGTATTTTCACTATCAATAAACATACCTTTATTCCATCAACTTTTTTTTTTTTTTTTTTTGTTGTGTGTGTGTGTGTATGTGTGTGTTGTTGTTTCTGGTCGGTTTTGTAAGAGTAATGATGCAATTTGAAACCTTCGAAGAGTTTGATAGATAGTGTAACATATTTTATCTGATGCTGATTTTGTTAACAGAAGTTTTCAAAATTTTAAAGTTAGATTAATAATATTGTAGTTGAAAAGAAAATATGGATGATTAACCAGGGAATAGACCCTATGTTAATTGAATAATTTCTTATTACTGTATTAATAACTCAAATAATTAAAGATTTCATTTATTATGTATTTTGTGGTACTGGGCTTCTTAGTATCATGTTTTCTTTCGAAGCATTTTCTTAAAATCCCTTTTCTCATAAAGGAAATGAAAGAAGCTTTTCGATCTCATGGCCTTCTATTATCTGCAGCAGTTTCAGCAGGGCAAAGTACCATTGACTCAGCCTATGACATATCTGCTTTAGGAAAGTAAGTTTAGAAATTATAATTTCCAGTTAAAGAAAAATTCTCATAATAACACCGAAATCAGCATTTTCACTGAAATTCTTAATTTTCTATAAGCTTTAAAAGTGTGCGTAGTGACGTATATGTATTTTTATTATAACTATAGACTGTATTTTTTAATGCTCTCCTATTATATTATCACATGCAATGTAAACTATCTGAACGAACTTTAGCGAAGAACTGGAATATGTGAAAATATTTCTATAGTTAGAAGATGATGCGCAGTTCACAAATACATTTCTACAGTTATAAGATCAATAATATTTAAAGTAAAAAATACAGAAGGGAAGCAATATTGCTTATGGAAAAATAAAAATCTGTTTCTATTTCGTCTCAGAATTTTAAATGTCTTATTTAACATTTCATCAATATTTCTTCCTATCGGCTTGACAAAAATTTTGATTGTGGGAAACTATTTTTAACAATATCGGAGTTTAAATGTTTATCACTGGTTAGTATTTGACAAAAATCAAATTATGACTCTTGTAAAATAATTATTAAATATGTTGTAATTATTTTTAATATATAGTCTATCTTTTTAACATAGCATAAAATATAAAAAATAATACAGAAAATCTATGTAAATCATCATAGAAATAGATACTGAATTTTGGATTTTATGTGGTATCGACTCTGTGATATTAATGTTTTATTTTGAAAAAACAAATATCAAATAAAATTTCAGTCATTTGTTGAAAGGCTCAATTTCGAAATTAAGCACTTAACGTAACTAACAAAAGCAATTTGCGAACATGGAAAGTATATTTTTAATTATTGGTATGCTTTGTGAAACGAAGTTAAAAAAAGAGGGACATGTATGTCTTCAATTAGTAAAATTGTTACTCAGATTGAATAAATGATTAACTCCTTGTTTGCCGGCTGTCCCGAGATGATCATCCGGGACAGCCGGCAAACAAGGAGCTAAAATTTTTGTTTAAAAGTATGAATTGCATGCATCATTTAAATTACTTTCGATTTTAGATACTTGGATATGATAAACTTAATGGCGTACGACTTTCATGGAGGCTGGGACACTGTAACTGGTCATAACGCACCTTTATATCCAAGGCCAGAACAATCAGAAAATAATAAAAAATTAAATGTGGTGAGTAACCATTTATAATAAAATATTTAATACTAGAGAGTTATTGCGTTTCTGATTATAATTTCCTCTTATTTAAGTGTGTGTGATTATGGCAAAGCCTCGAGGGCTATCTGCCTAAGGGAAGGGGTGCCTTCGTGAAGGACTTTCTAAGGGAAACTGGCTCGTATACACCTTACACTTGGGAAAAAACACGAAAACGTCCATGAAGCCAGCCCGTTCACGGAATTCGAACCTCGGACCGAACTAGCAGTGTTCAGCGACTTTACCACTCGGCCACTGGTGGGCTCCCTCTTATTTAAGTCAAATATAGATTATTAAATTTGTATACCGAGGAACTTTACTTTCTTGGAAAAAAGCATCTGTGCGGCATGGATACACTCTAAATATGAGGGAAACCGATAGTCCACTCGAGAGGTTGCTGGCAAGGGAAGAGGATGTGAGAGGCTCTCGGACCCGTCCTCCTGGGGTGCTCTTCATCAAAATTGGGTTGGGGGCGGAACTCAGCAAAGTCGTACTGTCGTCTGTATGGTGCTCAAGGCTCCTGCCAACGATAGGCGCAGTCTTGCACTCATTGCCACAATGAATTTCGTAGACTTATTCCGATGGTACTGTCAGATAAGTGAGATAAGTCACACCACAACATACACTTTCTTGGATGTCTAGAATAACGTTTTAATAATTCGAATTATGGTATCCTTTATTTTTACGAAAAACTGTTTGAGAAATAACTACAATATTTGCATTTATAAATGGTAATGACAAATTGTCCAGATGGTAGATATTCTAACAATAATCTTGTTGCCGGTGAGAATTAGCAAAACATTATGAAGAAGGATTAAGAACTTCCCTTTATCGCACTGAAAAAATTAACGGTTACAGTTTGATGGCTAAATTAAAGATACCCTGCATTTGTCAATGATTTATTTAATCTGAAAATAATTTTCTTTCTTCCGCAGCAAGGAAAATTATTCTGACAATTTTAAGCTATGTACTTTGTATACAAATAATATTTATGCGTATTAAAAATACAAAATGGTAAAATTGAAACAGCAGAAATAAGAAAAACAGAACATAAATACACTCACTTCCAAAAGTTAAGCACGGAAAGGAAAATGCTAATTTCCGGAAGCCAATCAGAATTGAAGAGGATGCAATTCGCTGCAGATGTAGATGGAAGTATGCAAATATGTTAGGTAACAGCCAATCGAGGTTTCATGTCAAGAAATATGCAGAAAAGGCAGTCTTATAAGAAGCCAGCTTTATGAAAGGTTAGAGAAATGATTGTAAGTGCTGATAGAAGGTGTTTACAACGTACAATTTGTTTTCAAGACATACGTGTTGCTATGACTTCCAGGAGACGAATTGAAGGTATTGAGCTCTGGCGTGCTGTGGGGCGCATTGAAGCAGGACAGTAGATCACAGATGTTGCTCTTTTTTTCTTCGTTCATCACTCTGTGATTTCACGTTTATGGAAACAATTCCAAACCACACAGACAGTTGTTCGATGACCCGTAGCCGGTCGCCCAAGGGTTACAACCCCCGCAGAAGATCGATATATTGCTGATCTGATCACCACCATGAGAGCTCTCAACCTAAGGAGTTATCCAAGAAAGAGAATGCTCTCATGGCGGACATTTATTGAACCAAAATACACAGTAATAGTTAAAGTGATAGTTTGATATATACAATAATCGTTACAGATGTACATCATAACAAGTTAGCACTAGGTGCCACGTTTACATTCAGCTTTAGGTACATAGCTTATAAAAATATCAGTGTCATCACAGTGCAGTCAACATATACATACAACATAAAAGATAAAGAATACTATGAAAACTAAATAAATTGAATACTATAAAAAGCTGAACTGTCATAGGCAAGAGCTTTAAAAGTATTAATGCCTATATACATTAGTATATAAATACAATTTAACAAGATAATATAATAGAAAACAATATGCAAACATAAATATTTACAATATATACAATACATTCAATAAACATTTCTGTACAACACTTAAAACAATACATTTCAGTTTATGGTGCATTGTAATGAAATGAATTATAAATACATTATATGCATATGAGTTGATAGAGTTATGCGTAATGTTATTACTAATACCACTATTTATACATTAATACCATTACTCAAGCACTTAACTGAATATCACATGCACCTCATACACCATACATTTAATACATAGACATTAATAAATATGAGCATTTCAGTACCAATACAATAACAGAAATACTACAGTGCAATGTTTAGAATGTGACACGACAGAAGTACACTCAATGTCCATCACCCATAGCACAATTCAATTTGACAGTTCTCAGTTTGAATTAGCATTCCAGATGAAATCAAACATAGACAATATCTTAATTATACAGTAAACCATATAACAACAAAGGATGCAACACAATGCTAAATATTATTGATAAATATGAAATACAAATTCAGTATAATCAAATATGAAATATAAATTCAGTAATATAATTGCGTATAATCCTATTCAGATATTATAAAGCTTAGCATATCATATCCATGACATGACTCAAAATAACATTTCATACTAATAATAATGTGAAAAATATAATTCCGCAGATTATGTTTTATATAATCAAGGTCAAAATACTCGTACATAGTTTACATATATTACAGTTTGAGTTGTGCTATAATGTTCAATAACATCTGTACTTGCTATTATAGTCAATACAAGTGATACCACAAACATGTGCAGAATACAAGACAGAATATTAAAAATCAAGATACTAATACTGTTCAGATACAATTCACATGAGTAATAACAGGAATTCGAAATATATTCGCACATAATGTATAATATACACTACACCACTCCATAGGCAAATACCAGCTATAAGATATAACAAGCTAATAAAGTACTAATTATTCATCAATTTTGTACCACTCATGTCATTAAGGCAGACCCTAACTATCAATAATTTAGCATTAATTTAAACTTCAGGTGACTGGAATCATGCAGTAGTTTGAATTAATTGATGTAATCCTCGTTTATACGTTAAACACATTCTTGAATTAGATGGATGGCTACAGCAAATGTCAGTATGCTCGGTTTGATTCGCTCGTGTGCAATTTACGCAGACTGGAGAAACACTGCATTTCGAAGATAGCTGCTCATGCAATCATAGAGCACTGAACACATGCTGGGGGGTTAGGACATTATCTACTCAAGTGTCCTATCTGCTGGCAATTATAACATCGCTGCAATCTGACGTAATGACGAAAACGACACGAGTAGAATCCGAGATAAATTTTTCCCCGAGCACCAAGCTTCGAATAATAATCCTTGTTTAAAGCCACAATCCAGTTATTCAGTAAATCGGGTCGAGATAAGAACGTTCAAGGAGATATTGCTTCTTCATCGCCTCCTAGAACTACGGAATTGAAAGCCTCCTTGACATCATCAGCTTGGGCCTCAGCAGGAACTCCAAAAATAATTATATGCTCGTGAATCGGTCGCGCTTCTCGCATATGAAATGACTTAGAAAGGTCTGTATGCTCTATAAATGTCTCTTTAATCTTCTTTAAATGGTCTTTTGATGCGCATCGGATTAACAACTCTTTACAACGTATTGGACGTATTTGTTGAATCGGTGCGCCCAACTTTTTTAAGGCCAAGGAAGAGGCTAGCCGTGCTTAAATCTCCTGGGGAGATACATTCATGTCCTTTGCCGCCACCAGTAACACATGTTCGGAAGGTTTCTTTGAAAGAGGAGCTCTCCTGTGCTTTCTTTGAACTAGAGTAAAGGGACAGCCGGCAAATTAACTTCTTGATCTTTGATGATTTGAACGTGATCAGAATCTCTAAATGACAATGAAAGCGAAACTACTTTTTTAAGAGATTCAATTTCTCTCTTAAGATGTGCATTTGTGAGTTCAAGTTGTATTATTCTGGTGGTACTACTTTGGTAGACGGTTGCACGGATTTTGAAAACGTTGTTTTTTAAGATGGCTGGCAAATGTAAATAAATACATTTACTAAGAGTACAAAATGCTAAAGTACGGTTAAATTATTACTTTCATATAAAAAAAAAAACACCTCTATAAAAACTTGCGCCGCATTTAATTGGAATAATATATTATTTAAATTGATATTGAATTAAAAACATATACCAACGTTTAAAAGAATTAAAATTTTCAATTAATTAAAATTCAAATCCTTTAAAAATAAGTTTTATAGGATAAATATTTAACATTAAACATATGTGGCAATCAATATCTCAGGAATTTTTTAAAACAGTTATTAATTTTTAATAAAAATGCGTATACAATATAAGTAAAAGAAAAATATGTACATTTTAAGTATTTTACCTGTCGTATATTTATAAGTACCAAAAAAAAAAAAAGATCTTCATCTGTGATCTACATCTCTCGCACTTCATCGAAGAAGCATTCGCGAGTTTCCTTCAAAATTTAAAATAAATTTCCTCTGACCCTTGAACAATAAATAAATCTTTGATGAAAGCAGGTTGGCCAAAATAAGGTCTAAAACGGCAATTTTTTTATTCCGATACTAATTCTTGGTAATTACCGATAACCCATTCATGTTCGAAACGAACACTCCATTCGGTTTGAAATCTGAGGAATTCGAAGAGATGAATAATAAAATTTTTAAAATGGCGCGGAATGCACAAATATTCAGTAACCAATCAGGGAGCTGATTACACAGCATAGAATTAAAATTATTTAAATAATCATTCTTAATAAATCATATTTAAAAATGCAAAATTAATGTATTTTATATTTAACAGCCATAAATATGTTTAAAACAATAGATTAAATTTATAGATATTAAAAACTAATTACTTTTTAAATAATTGACGTCATCATTACTCATTCACAACATAAAATCATAAAATATCATAAACAATAATTTATTTCAATAAAATGCAAATTAAATTCATTTTTTATTTTGAAGTCATAAATATTATTTAAAGACGGAATTAGCATAATAAAACGCATTATTTTGAAAATAAAATGACACAAAGTATAGGTTACATAAATAACTGTCCATAATGTTTCTGCAAGTCGTATCGCTCGCCAAAAAAAAAAAAAAAAAAATCGCCAAAAAATCGCCAAAATCCGTGCAACCGTCTACCAAAGTAGCACCATTCTGGTTTATCCCAACTGCAATATTTCGGCGAGCTGTTTTTGAGCTCCTATTGTAAGTTTGTATTTAGAAGTGGAAGCTGAAATTAACTGTTGTGCAGAAACCTTATCGAAATAAGTGTGCAATCCACGACTATTGTGCAAATCAATGTCCGAAATCACAGAAGAAGGCGCTGAATGCGTCGAACTGAGAATTGAAAGCTGAGAATTTGTTGCTTGGGTAGCTGTATCCACACCAATGCCATACAATGGAGAGGCAACTTTAGATGATATATCTGAAGATGGATCAATGTTTGAATTACTGGCTAAAAAGATGATATTAATGTACGATATTTCTGTCTGAATTGAAGAGTCAACCAGACCATAGTACCATCAAGATTGTAAAAGAACTACTTTATTTGTGTTCCAGAGAAGACATGAAATACTGTTTAACTTCTTTATCTCATCGTAGTTGCTATGTTTGTTAAAATACCATAAACAGCCTTCATATTCTCCGTTGCTTGACCTATGCTGGATTCATAAAGCTGAATCCGTGCGGGATTAAAAATGAGACTATGCAGAATTTAAATGTCCAGAGACATTTAAGTTTCTGCAGTTTAAGTCATTCCTACCAAATTTTGTGGATGATCCAGTGATACCCTTTCAATTTAGTTACAAAATAATTTGAATGGGATTGAAAATCCTGTAAGCTGGAGGGATTTACAGTAGTTGTACCTTCTGCCATATTACAATATTCCTCAAATTTTTAAAAGAAAATGAGAACCAATAATAAGAAATTAATTTTGCAACTAGAGTAGATGTAAAATAAATGAAATTTTTAATAAAACTAAATACTTAAATTATGTAAGAGAAAGTCTATTGAGGAATGGCAACCAAAGATGAAGGTTTTGAAAAATTTAAGTCACTATAACGGCTAATTAATGCACTATTAATTACGGTAATAAAAGCAGTAAATCAAATATTATAAATAAATGATATTTAAAATGGTAATCAAATACTACTTAAAGGAAACAGCAATCAAAACATTAAAAATAATAATATTAAAACAAGTTAAAGGAACTCATTCGTGGAAACTAATGTTTAGTAACTTAACTGGCTTGTCCTCTAATTAATGTACTGTATTCACCACTAAAGCAACATCCAATTTAATGTACTATTTCAAATGTTCTTGAAAATCACTATTCTTCAATCCAAATCCGGAAATAATCCAAATAGGCGTCCAAATATGAGAATTTCTATGGTCTGATCCTTTGAATTACAGTAGCGATAGCAGATCATCAAAGCGAAAACCAAAGTCCAGAAATATGGCTGTTTCTTTGATAATTACAGTCACTGTTACATAAAATTGACATCCAGAGACTCGTCATTGGATGATACACAATTTGACACCGTATTTATCCAAGTAGCTGCAAAATTATAGCAATTAAAGAAATTTTTAGGAGAGCTTAAAATCTTCAACCAACAATAGCAAAAGGCTCTCGATATTGATATATTGCTATTGTAGCCAAGCGGAATCGCAGAGCGACCTCCACACGTGTGACATCTATGGTTACAGCGTCCACAGGTAAGGCGATATCTGCAGCTATTGTACGCCGAAGATTACATAAAAGCGGACTGTACACCCGGCTACCTCGAGTTTGTGTTCCTGTATCCGTCCAATCAAGAGGGGCGCGATTACAGTGGTGACGGGAACATGCCAATTGGAATGTGTCTGACTGGGGCAATGCCGTATTTATTGATGAGTCAAGATTTGCTCTGGAGCCAGATGACAAGCGTATAAGGATATGGCGTGAACAACGAACACGCAATCAGTCCCAAAACATCATCGAACATCACGCATTCCGAGGCGGAAGTTTTATGGTATGGACAGAGATTTCATTAGGATACCGCATCGACCTGCACATCTTTAAACAGGCTTCTTTAACGGCTGCACGGTATCGAGATGAAGTCCTAGAACCCATTGTGAGATTGTACGCTGCAGCAGTTGGCCCTACTTTTTTTTAATGGACGATAACGTACATCCCCATAGAGCTGACTCGTCGATGACTACCTGAGATGAAGGGATTGCGCGTATGGCGTGGCCCAGCATATTCGCCCTACCTTAATCCCATTGGAAATCTTTGGGTCTGCCGTGCTGTATCTTCACGTTTCCCACCTCCAGCCACTCTTATTGAGCTGGAAAATGCTCTACAAGAAGAATGGCGATTTCTTAATTCTGCGGTGGTTGACCCTAATTGAAAGCATGGCCACAAGGTATAAACTTTGTATACAGATGAGGGGGGGATCACATACCCTATTAATGTCCTTTTTTTCATTTTATGCTGTTTATTTTTACTTTATACATAATTCTGTTTAAGTCTCCAGTATGTCATTACCTGATAACTTACAAAAATTTAATATTGTTTTTATTTCTGTATATAATTATTGATTTTGTTTTATGCACAAATATATATGCTACTTTCCTGCCGAATTTTGTGTGAATCAAAGCAGTATTTGTTGCTTTTTTTTCATTTTACATCTTCGTTCTTAACTTTTGGAAGTGAGTGTATTTACAGTATCACATTTCTTTTTGCAGAAGAAGCCCTATTTTTTCATATTTTATAAGAAAAAAACAGGGTTGATGTCTGTAGCAATCATATTTCTTATGTACAGACCTTTCTTCTGCAAAAGTCAAATGTTAATTGCTGTGTTTCTTGCAGTGAAATTGAGATGAATTTATCAAGTCAACGAGTTTACAATTTTCTTAATAGGATTACGCGGTGAAGTACTGGCTTCGTAAAGGAGCTCCAGCAGAGAAGCTGATCTTGGGAATGCCATTATATGGCAGAAGTTTTGCTTTGCAAAATTCGCAAAAAAACGGCCTAGATGCGCCTGTGACTGGTAAAGGAATGGCTGGAGAGTACACTAAGGAGCCGGGTATGCTTGGTTACAACGAGGTGAGAACCATTATAACTGTCGTCTTATTACTCACTATTTTTCGTTTCACATATTTTTGTTTTGCGTATTTAAGTTGACTGAATTTACTATTTAAGACAGGGCTCTTCAAATTTGTCAACTCAGTGTAAACTATGAATAACATTTCATGTAGCCTCTACCTTCTTTAGAAAGAGTAAATATTAAAAAAGCTCTGAATGTATATTAACACTGCATACGCTCTCTGCGGAGAATTTTAAAGAAATCATCAATTTATTATAATATTATATTAGTTTTTTATTATATTTTATATTAATAACAACAAAATAAAAATATACTAATTATATATATTTGTGATCCCCACTTTAATAGTTCAAGCGGTCAATTTGCCCAGAAGAGCTATTAATTTCGTTTTGGCATTTTGCGTTGGTTCACTGTAAACGGTATTTCACTTTTCAAGAGTTTTCGGCCGAATATTAAAGCCCTGCATTATATTTAAAGACTTTGAAGCCGGTGCATAAATTGACTTAATTCTTCTACTAAGATTTTCAAATATAAACAATAGCGGTCTCGCACCACTAAAACAACTTTTAAATTGTCGATAATTCTGCAACTATTGCAAGCAGATTAACTAAAAGCGTTGAAATATAATATCTGAAATATTTTGGGATTACAATATTTCCTTTACTTCGTATAAGAAAGTAAAAATGCTCTTCACATTAATCTAATTAACAAACGTAAACCCATAGTGCATAAAAAGTAGCCTAAATAACAATCTGAATGTGTTTATCAACAGATGTGTATCATTCGAGGAAAAAGAAAACCAATAAGTCATTGAACTCAAACTTGTTCCAGAATAATTCATAAGCATTACGAATGCTTGTACTAAGGTAAGTGTGTAAAAGCATGAAATTAAAAAAAAATAATATTTTTCCTATGTTGTATTCTGATCTGATCCCAAAAGAAACTGAAATATGAAAGCCTCACATGTATATCTGTAATATAAAGAAAATTGTCGAAAGGTAACACTTTGAGGATCGCTGTGTGTGAAGCGTCCGAAAGATGAAAGTTCTTTTATTTTGCTCAGTGGCTACACACCGTTCTTAAATCTTTAAATTTGTTTACTAATAATATGCCGGTTAGAAATAAAAGATAAATTAGAGCTGTTGAATGCATTGCTGGATGGGAAAATTATAAGAATTAACCGTAAGAAAGAACACATGGAAATTCAATTAAAACTCTAACGTTTCGAGAGGAGCAATTTTTGCCAAAATGTGTATCTAAAATGTTTTCCCTTTCTATTTAGCCATCAGTTTCCAAGATATGATCACATCTACAAGATTTATTTTGACAAAACAGGACTTTTTTATATTAATTCAAAGCTATTTCGAGGCTTATAAAATATGGCGATTAATATTAAAAAGCCTGTTACTCGTAATTTTACAGAACTGTCATGTATTGAAACAATTTGCAGTTAATATCCATTCCACATTTCCAGAAAATGTGAAAGTTTGATACACGCGGCTTTTAGATCACCTTGTTATCCATTCGATTTATGTTGATCTTAAATAAAGGCAATGCACGTATTTTTTTTCAATAGACGGTCAAATCAAATAAAAGACACACCATCTGACTTTATTTTCTTGATCTTGGTCTACAATGAAACCTATCAAAACGAAGAAGATAGCTGGCTATAATGAAGCACTGTCAAGCTTTTCCGAGGAACCGTCATCCTACCATTAGAAATGTATATCTTAAAATAATATTTAAAGTTGATCAATTGTTATAGATTCTTTATGTAAAGAAAGTTAAGGAAAGTATTGTACTTTTTATTAAGAATTTTAACATAAAATTAATGTAATTAACTCATTAACAGCATCAACTCATGCTCCAGGTGCCAACACTTACCCTTGCATTATACTTAGTGACTGTAGTGTGTTCGCATTTTTGTACATAAACTGTCATAAACATATTTGTACATAACATATTTTGTACATAAACTGGTCGTTGGTATGCGTGGCGCATGCGTGGCGCGTTTCCCGATCCGGCTCGACTAGGAGAATCCTCTCGTCAGGTCATTCCGTGTTCTTTGATCTACGTGTTTGTGCGATTGTGAGTTAATTGTTTTTTACATTTAACGTGAAAATAATTATTTAGCGATGCCTTCCAAGATGATTGTTGGCTCAGATAATACTGCAAAGAAAAAGAAGGACGCCACGGTCGTTGAAATTAAGAAAGGAATCATAGATAAACATAAGCGTGGTGTAAGAATGACGGAATTGGCAAAGACGTACGGCCGTTCGACATCGACGATTTGGAATATTCTAAAGAATAAGGAAGAAATTAAGAATGTGACTGAAGAAGTTTACCGTTATTACATATAAGCACAGTCCAAAACTCCTAGAAGATGTTGAGAAGCTATTGTTGGTCTGGATTAACGAGAAGCGGTTAAAAGGCGATTCGGTGTCGGAAGCTATCATTTTTGATAAGGCTATGAATCTGTACTTGGACCTTCTCCGAAAAACACCAGATATTATTTACCAGTGTTATTTATTAGGAAAATTGATTTATATGTCGATATTTTTGGGGGTGAGGAACGGATTAACCAAATTCGTTATACGAACTCAATGTTGCAGCAAATTAAAACTTGAATCTCGAGGTTCCACTGTATAACATAGAATAGTTTCATAGTACATAACTGTAGTATTAATGTTGAGCTGCTTTAAAATTTTATAATATTATGTATCATTATCAAGATTTTTATGCCTAGTAATTTTTCTTTTTCTTCCTTAAAATCCCCGTGTTTACAGATTAACATCCAAGTTTCAAACTCTTTCATTCTTCTAAGAAGTTTTTTGGACGCTCTATTTTTAAAACTAGCTGACAATGAAATCCATTTTCAGAAAATTCTGTCAAATTTAGAAAGATTTGAAGCGTTATTCAAACCGATTTCAAATATCGTTAACATTTAGTAATGCAAATATAGGGCGATGAGCAGTAATTAAAAATAAAAGAAAGATGTTTTGCTTGCTAAAATTTTACTTTACTTCCATCCACGACCAATGTCAAGAAAATAATCAAGTTCTTATTATAAGGTAGTCTTTGCTTCTCTTTTCACAACAGTAACAGTGCGGGTTTTGAAACCATGTAAATTTGTAAGATGATTGGTTACCGTTATTACCAAAACATCAAGTTTTATGGCACCTTACCCAACGCACGTTTAAAATTATAAATTATCACATTTTACTTCATGCTCATATTCCTTGCTCACAAAAACTAAAAAATGACCATATTGGGGACACTGAATGAAAGTCTTGCCGGGGATAACTGAATCAAGCCTTATGTGATGTACGAATCCTTTAATGTCAGTGGCACATCGAATGGTGATAGTGTGATGTTCTAAAGCCAAAATTTTTGTTTCAGTTTAAATCAAACCTAAGATTATTATTCCTGGAAGTAAACAGTTATTTCTCAGAACATATAAAAAAATGTATTTAAGTATCACTGATAGTCATGTTAAGGGTACAAATTCTCCTTACTTCTGTAAAAACGAAAATAACTATGAACTGTGGAAACACCCACAGTTCATGGTTATTTTCACATTCCTTTATGGTTATTTTCTTAAGGGGGCTCATACACCTTAAATCCCTTATGAGCTTCCAATTATGTGACTGTTGCAAATTGAATGCTTATTCTTTTAAAAGTAATACCTCCAACCCTTACATGCGAATATATCTGCTTTGGAACTAGTAACAGAGTTTGTGTGCACATTTTTTGTAATTTAACCGCTTTGTGACAGAATATTTCGTCACCTGCGCGCATGATAGTTGAAAATGGTAATGTACAACTTGAATAGATGGAACTTTATGGGCACATTTCTAACTGAACCAAATATGATGATATTTTAATATTGAAAATTATTCACGAAATATTACAGATATTTTTATAAAAATCGGTAATCAACTGAATAAATAAAAATAACATAAATTTCAGTTTTTTTGGTTGAAGTAGTTTCTAAATGTTATAAAAGCTTATATAATATGAATTAATATGCACAGAATATGCCGCAAGTGGACATGACGAAAGGTTTTGTCACAAAGCGGATAAATTAAAAAATATTTGTGCAACACCACTTTGATTACGATTTCAGAAACAGCTTTTATTATGAACCATAAAAGTTGAAGTATGCTTTTAAATAAATAATTATAATTAAGAACAATAACACGCCGAATAAACTAATCATAGTCAAACACAAAATCTCCATTTGTGGTTTGGCAGCTGAAGAGGTGGTTCGGTAAACATCGAACTATCCTTGAAATTTGGTAATTACTCTGATTTTGTTGTTGACTTCTGAATTAGTAAATAAGTTATCTCAATTCTTGCAACAGTCACATATTCGAAGATCGTAAGGGGTTTAAGGTGTATGAGCCCCTTAAGGAGGTTTCATAGAACATCAGGTTAATATAAGCATATAATTATGTTCATCCGAAATCAAGTCAATCACTTCATCACATATTTATATATATGGCATATTTAACCCTAAATACATTATATTTTGTACTGCATCTTTTACCCTAAATAGTACATTAAACGGCTCCTTTTACCCTAAATTTACCCTAAATATATTAAACTGCACATTTTACCCTAAATACATTAAGCGGCATATTTTACCCTCTGCGCAGTTTGTTTCCTTTCTGAATTTTCAGAATAAATATTAAGATTTATCTATTATAAATTGAACTCATTGGAGCAAACCTATTTCATTTGATAAATGCACTTGCTTTTGGAATGTAAATGAACGTTGCCATTACATTCACTTGGTGCAAACTAGATATTTAAACGTCAATGAAAACTTTTCCCGTTCTATCGATTAACTTTGTTAGATATACTCTGGTTTTCCATACCATCTTTCAATGTTTGAGCTCTTTTGCGTTTCTAGTAGTTAAAGGAATAACAAGAAGTAACTGATAGATTATAAATAATTTTTCCTGTTCTCCGCGAAGTAATAAAAAGTGGAAATGAATCTTTACAAATATTAGGAAATTACTTTTTTTATGACTGTTGTAGACACATTAGGTATTTTTTTTTTTGGAAGACGGAAAAATTAGCAACGCCTTTGCCGGGAATCGAACCGCGGACCTCTCAATTACTCGCTGAGCTTGCAGACCACTACATCACGAAGGCTCGCTAAGAAGGCGGGAGAAATACCTTAAACCATAAGAATAAGAACCTTAACAAGGTTCATAGGTATTACCTTTTCAATTTTCATATTCACATATTTTCCAATATTTTAATCCGAGCAGTTACTATGCAATTATACATAATGGAACATAATTTTGAACAATCGGACAGTTTCAAAATTGAATAATCTTTTTTTATTTTAGATTTGCAAGATGCTCCGCAACGAGAAGGATTGGAAAATTGTGGTGGAGAAATACACTAAAGCTCCATATGCCGTGAAGGATAGACAATGGATTGGCTATGACGATATTGAAAGCATATCCCATAAGGTAATGATTATATTCTAAAAATACAACTGGCATCATTTTACTTTATATTTTATTAAAATATAGGTATGTTCAGATTTTAAAAAATTATTTCACTGAACATATCTACAAATATGCTATGTGGAAAATTTTGAATTCTTGAAGTTATGCGTGTTTCACAATATCTTTTAGATCTGATACAGCTTTATTTTGCCGTAATTCATCAAATGTTCAAATAATAATTGAAATCTTTAAAAACGTTTAAAGAAGTTTGCAATCTTTTTTAATTCTAGCATTTCTATGTAGTCAAATCAGATCTTTGCCGTTTAAAACCGAAAAGAAAAAAAAATATGTATGTTATTGCCAACTTTACAGTCTTCAAAAGCTTTGCTATTCTGTTTCTTCAATTACATTGCTCAGCAACTGAATCAGAAACAGCTGGCAGTCTGGCTGGTAATTTGTCATACGCATCTGATTGCGACCAAACTGTCAGATACTAAGCACTACAACTCCACAATCCCGCAAACACCGGTTTTGTACGAGCCACCGTATCAAGAGTTCCCGATGAGTACGTAGATTCTGATAAAACCATCGCTGCAAATGTTAATTAATGTGATAATTAACATGCGGATGAAAGATCCCATTGCCCGCTAGCTTGTATCGTAACGGCAGATAAACGGGCAGGGTGTAGAAGATTGCAGTTCACCTCTGGAGATCAACCAAGTGTAAACTGTCACATAATTCAGAAACATACCATTCCTCTCAGGTACAAAATCAAACGTCGCACTAGAGTACTTTTGCTTACCTTACGTTACAAAGTACAAAGATTAATACAGGTGAAAAACACGCCATTGGATTCTCGGAAGATGGAGAAAACGTGATGGATTAATGCGTCTAGTCCATTTGGTGTACGCACACTGAACACCTATATCGCGTGTAGGTCAATAACGTCGAAATAGATGAAAAGCATTTGAAATAATAGATTCTTCTTTCCAGCAGGATGCAGTCTAGGAAAGGGAAGGTGATATCTTTATAGGTGGGGAAGGACTATGTACTTGAAAAGAAATGTATTCCCTGGTGCATTTTTCCGTTACCAGTTAACAAATGATATAGCGAACCCATATCAGAACATATATTTTCGTTTATTCTGCTACAGAATTTTTCAGGAGACCTGTACCTTCTCAAAGTCAATGTGCCGGCCACTCGCTCCCGAATGATTAGATGAAGAATCCATGAACGTAAGACAGTTTGCCTGATTCCTGAGGGCACTTGATCTCAATCTTAGTGAACACATCTGGGATACTATCAAGAGAAATATACCTGCACTTGATTCTACTTCAGCCATTTTCCAAACATTATGGCAGAATGTGTCGCAGACATGGATCAGTATAGTTTCCTAGGACTCAAGTCATCTTGTATAATACATCCCCACTGCATTCCCGCCATCATCAAAGCACAAAAAGCGCTTCTAGTTAGCTTCATATCTCTAATTCAGCTGTTCATTCATAAGATGCACCGTTTCCACATATAAATGTTTCAAAAATATGTGTCCGCTTTAGAATAAATGGCATTCCACATTCGCAGTTTTTTTGCGATTATCATACTGTTACCAATACTTTGTTTCTAAGAGGAACTTTCTGGTTCCAAGTTTAATTGTTTCAATTTTTTCCAAGTTTAATTGTTTCAATTTTGCTTAAACGTAATATCGTAGTCGTACTTCTATAAGTACAAACGGCGGCTAGCTCTAAACGTATTTATAAACAAAGCACAGGAACACTTAATAAGAAAATATGCATCTAAACAGCACATACGCCAAAACTGAACACCTAACATTTAAAATTAACGTTCGATTTACAGAGATGTAATATTGGACAACTTAACCTCATTGAGGTTGACTTATTGTAAGTTGTTCTTGTTGCCACTAGATGGCGTTCTATAAAATAGTTCGGTTACATCCAAATAGTTCTGTTACAATGTGAGCTTTTTCATTTAAAAATTGTTTTCATTATACTACTACACAAGCTCACGTGCTGATAGCTAAGAAACTTTGCTTGGGATATGTAGACGTAAACGAAGTTACACCCTTTTTTGTCATTTTGATACTTTTCTAAGGATCAAAATGCCTTTAAAGATGGCCTTAAAACATGCCTTAAACATTTAGTTTACAAAGCTTACAGAGACTCATCAGAATAAGTATTGTGTGTAAAGAACATTAAAATGAAGCTAGCTGCAGGTTGATACTTCACCGTTACAGAATTATATATTCGTCTTTGGGAAATTGATAGCAATGCTCATATTTGCTAATGATAACAATTACATGAAGAAATTACTAAGTTCCTAAAAATAAAAGAAATAAATTTAAAGATTGTCTATTTAAAGGCCAGTACGGCAAGGACTTAAGAGGTTATCATCAAAGCAACGAGCGTTTGTCACTCAAAATATTCCTGCAGAATTTCAGCAGAATACTTTAAAGGCGAGTAACAGCGTAAACGAAAATAGAGGCATAATTTTAGACGATTTGGAAATGCAAATGCAACAGCAATCTGCTTCGATATGCTTCAAAATTAACGCTACCAAGGGGAAAGGATGCTGAAGAAATCAAAATGATAAGTACGGGCTACTTAAAGCAATATATTACTGTGCTATGTTAAGTTGTAGGTGGTCGAAATTTACTTTTGTAATTAATTTTAAATATTAAATACAACTGCAGTTGATTTTAAAAATAATAGATGGATGACGATCGAGCTTGCCGAAAACTGACTAAATAATGAATGTAATAATAATTCTGGAAGCATTCATACCTACCTAACCATGCTTGTACTTAGGGCATCTCTACCGAAAAAGTCAAAACTGAAATTGTTCAGATATGTGGTGCTTTCTTGACACATGAGTAATGACCTTCATCCACTCGATGCTCCTTTCAATAAAACATCCAAAGATTACATAAAAAAGGAATATGAATCATGATGTTTGACACTTCTAAAAAGTAATGAAATGATCGGCATCCGAAATACTCCGAAGGTGATAGGTTGTAATATGATAAAATAGGTTAATCAAAGAGAATTTCAGCAGAGCAGTTGCTGTATCAGATAACTTTTATGAAGGATGGGGTACCACCGCACTTCGGTCTATGAGTACAGCGATTGTTGCTCCATCACTTTACAGAAGAAAGAATGCACCATCAAGTCGCTTTTTCTACTTATATGGCCATTTCGCTCCACGGATCTAACCCCTTGTGAACATTTTCCTGTGGGGTTATTTGAAGTTCAGAGCCTGTCTTGGTGGTGTTCCGATTTAAAAGATCATAAACGACAACATACCACGGGCTGTGCTGAGCATTTCTGATGACATGTTACGTTAGGGCGTCGAGAATGCTGCGTATTGGGTGCAGTGTTGTGATCCACTCGGAGATGATCACATTTTAAAAGCTCTATGCTCTCGCCGAGGAGGCGCTTTTTTTTAACAAAGTGCTATGGTGCAATGAAATATTGCAATTGTTTGCTATTGATTTGTCTAGCTCTCAACTGTGCAGATAAGAACAACGTCCCATTTTATACTAACGGCAACTTCCGGAAATGTTTTTTATCATGTCATCATTAGTCACCCTACCAAATTTGGTAATATTTCATTTTATATATCTAGTTACAGATGGCTGTGAGTAGTATCAGTTTAAAAATAAAACTACTTGATAATTTTGCGAATGGTATAAGTCAATGAACGAGACAACCATTTCATCCCCAAAACTGTCTCTTAATGGCAATACAGACTCCTGAAAATTAGCGGACTACTTCAGACAAACATAGGAAAAGAATCTAGTGAGAAAAGTATAAAATTATTTTCAGAACATACCGGCTTTTTGAAATACAGGTCATAAATTATAAGCACCAGACTGACAAGAGAAAAATTAATCACCTCGTTTTATTACTTTTATTAAACATATAAACATTCGAAGCCTCAACAGGAAGTGAAAGAAATATTTATTTAAACTTCATATAAACTGAATTTCATTTAACTGCTCATTAAATCTGTGGATTAAGAAGGAGAAAAGCTATATTATTTTAAAAAGTAAATAAACCTAAGATTAATATAAAATTATGGGTCGACAAAATTAGGCAACTTTCTGCGATTTTACAAACAACTTAAAAGAAGTAAAGAGAATAGCATGCGTTACGCTAGGAAGGCGCGAAATGTTTAATCATCACATGCGAAATCACTCGCATTTTGTTCCACTTGCGACCTCATTGCAACATATACAAAAATACGAAATCTGAAAACTATGAAGACACCTAAAAGAAATTGTATTCATCCTCTGAAAGTCTTTGTTTCAATATTTCACTTAAACTGCGTTTCATTCAACCCCATTTGGATGTTTCCTGAAAATAAGCGGACTACTTTAGACAAGCACAGGAAAAGGTTTCTGTCGAAATACTAGCAATATGGAAAGGATATAAGGCAGAAAACTAACTCAGATGTTGTAAGTAATAAATGGATATTGTTACATAACAAAACAAATTATTACTCACTAAAATGAAAAGGAAAAATATAAAAAATAAAGATACTGTTCTCCATAATTCGATTTGTGTAAAATGGTCATCTAAATTGAATTTAGGGTCGTCTAAATTTTGTATTTCAATTTTTTGACAATCAAAACGAATGAACAATAATTTGGTTCATCTCAAACAGGTCGGTATTAGGGAAAAATAAATCTCAAAACTAGTTTTAGTAAAACGAGCACTAGAAAGATAGCAAAGAAGAAGAAAATATGTTTTAAAAGAAAGAAACGGGGTTAATTGTGTGGTAAACATGCTGCAATAATTCAAAATGATAAAGAATAGAAATGTTTCGGATTTTGGTGTATTTCGATGCATGTAAGTAGATAGCTTGCGCATCAAACACAATCTAAACACTAGATTAATTTGTGTTACATAAACACTTCATGGAAAAAGTGATTAAAAATATATTGAATAATTTTGTACATGAAGTGTTTGTATATGAAATCATGAGGCAGCAAACAGTCATTATCTGAGTAGCGCTTGTACATCGTCATCATCATTCCCGAATTTATATATCACCAATAAGTAATCACTATGTGAAATAAAGAGTCTATTGTTCCTCTTGTGATGTTACGTCACAGCTCAAATAATGTCTGTACTGTTATGTCATATTTTCCAATAAAATATAGTAATTTACTTATATTCAATATAGTGAATCTGTTTTCTATTTTACTTAGGTGGATTATCTTCTTCAAATGAAACTTGGTGGCGGTATGATATGGTCAATCGAAACAGATGACTTTCGAGGAAATTGCCACGGATTTCGATATCCTCTACTGCGAGCTATCAATGAACGTCTCAATGGCAGATCTGTGCCACATCATAGAGAAAAGGATTTGGAAAAAGATAATTCCATCTCACCGACGAAGTTCATCTCAAGTTCTTCCCCTATGCCATCTAGCACAAGACGTCAGACCGCGTCCACAAGGACAGCAAAGGCAACTACAGAAAAACCTCAGGATAACGATTTGCCTTGTCCTCGCACTGGTTATTTCAGGCATCCAGATAATTGTAAAGTCTTCTACTTCTGTCAAGCAATAAATACAGCGAAGGGTATGGGTTACCAAAGATTTGTTTTCAAATGCGGTGCCGGCACCGTATTCAGTGAAACACTGCGCATATGTACATTTCCTAATAGCGCTCCCGGATGTTCTTAAAATAAAAAATTAGATATTTTGCAGCAAATGTTTTACCTTTATTTCTCACTCTACATTGACAACGGGAATATAAGGACATAAATTAGTGTATAAATATGCTACATATTTTTACATACTTAAGTAAGAATAAAAAATATGTCTTAACGACAAGAAGTTAAAATTTATTATCATAGAATTTAGAAAGCAGATGTAAGGGAAGCACACCAGTATGAGAGGATTAATATGTAGTATTACATAATTAATATGTACACCAGTATGAGAAGATATATGATTAATATGTAATTATTTGTAAACACTCTACATATTGATTCACATGTAGAGTGTTTACAAATAATAAAGCGAGAAAGACAAAACATTTTAAAGCTACCTTCATTATATAAAACGAACATAAAATAAATGAAGTGATTAAACGAAGGCAGACAATTGGATTATCTGTTTTCAAAGCAATATATACATATACAAATGAAGTACACTAAAATTATATTTCTGAAATTTTTGAAAAGGTGCTCTTACAGCAGATTTCCTGAAGGTGGAGAGCTTTTCTATACAACTAAGATTATTTTTACACTGAATTCCGTTTAATTTTTAAGATACTGTAAAACATCCATTTAGAAAGTTTTTGCAGGCATAAAGGGAAATTTCGTTTTAAAAATTGCATGCTGTTCTTCTTATCATATTTTCCTACCTTCGATAAAAATACAAACAACCTCAGCTCTACATAAGTGTTTTTCTTTTATTTCATTATTCCGTGCTATTAAAGAAAGAAGAAAGCCACAAAAACTGTATTATAAGCATAATTACCATCAGAGCGGTGCATAAGTATTTTTTTTATCGGAGGTAAGAGGGGTACTGCGCGTATCTATCTAAAGTACAAGTTAAACTTGTTCACTTTTGTATTCAATAAATGTAATCAATAAATGTAATTCAATTGTTTTAAATCATAATACTACAGCCTTTACAATAATTTTAGTTTTCTATATCCGGAAAATAATGTACAAAATATTTATAGTTTTAAACTGAAAAAAGTAATAAGTTTTTAAGAGTACAATTAAAATAAACAGCTTTGGAAATGATAAATAATAACGTAAGCAAAACGAAGATCTTATACTAACTTAAAAGCATTTTTAATATCCTAATTTTCTTGCGTTTATAAAAAAAATCATCAATAATTTTTTGAAATTTATTTTATTACTTAACTCATGCTCTTAAGATAATTTGACAGTTTTTTTAGCCAAATTAAGGCTCTTATACAGATTTTTAAGCTTACCGTAGTTTCCTTCACGTTAAGTGTGACAAAAGTGACTGTAGACTTTAAAAATATTCCTGACATAGTTTAAAGTTTTCTAATGTAGATATGGTAGAAGAAAACTGTATTCTTGAATTATATATAGAAGATCTTATAGCTGCTTTAATCTCCATAATTACTATAGTATTTTTTAAATATATGCAAAAGATATTTAAACATTTTTAGAACGATTTCGGGGCTACGTATAACTATTTCCCTTATCGTGATTTCTTTAACAGAATAGCTTTTCGTAAATTTTCTAGTGGTACTGATTACCATTCCTTTTCAACTACATTCCAGTGTCCATTACTAGTGATGGTTTAGCACTTACATCTCTTTTGAAGAGATCAAAAGCACAATAATCCATAGGTGAAACGCCAAGGGACTTCGCAGAAATACGTTGAAAATGCATATAGTAGCACCTCACAATAAGGGACACCCACCGGACTACACATTTCTGTTCCTTAAATAGAAGTGTTCCTTCTGCAAAGAGTACATACTAAAAAACTTGCCTTTGAAATATCAAAAAATTACTAACAAAGAGTATTTCTCTACCTCTGTCTTATTTCTGAAAATTTTTTTAATGTCCTTTAAATAGAGTGTCCCTTAATAAAATGTAAATACATTAAGATCCCTATTTAAAGAAAACGGGACGAATGGAATTGTTCCTTAAATACAGATGTCCCTTATTGGAAGGTGTTCCTTACAGGAAGTACTACTACTTTGTATACAATGCCTGTATCAGTATTAATTTTTTCAAGGAATGCAGTGGTACTTTTCGAAATATGGTTTGCTGTTTTATCTGAAGGAAGTTTTACTTTAGTGGAAAGTCAATAAAATAAAGAAATGGAATTTCTTCTGTAAATATCAGACGTAAAAGTTTCCCCTGAGAGAAAGTTGAGTTGATTTTAACAATTTTCTCTCTCTTCTAATTTTTCATTTTCCATTGTAAAAGATCCTGAGGCGAGATCCTCACTCGCCTCACAGTTGTCACGGCTGTAGTTAGAACTGATTTAACGTCTTCCCATTTTTCTAGTCCTCCTTTTTATATATACGCGTTGTATATTTTTTTAACATGTAGCTTTACTCGTTTGCTCGAGCAAAGTTATTTGCTCGTTTTTGAGAGAAGGCAGATAATAACAATAATTATTAGAACTCAGTTTTATATTATGTATTAAGATACGGAATACTTTTACATAAACCATACTTTAAATTTCTATGATAAAGATTTCGAATATAACATTCAGTCTCAGTTCAATAATTAGATAAAACTAAACTGGTAAGTGAAAACATTTAGTCTTAGCAAGGAATAAAATCGCACAATACTAAATATTGTGCTGCGTGAAAAAGAAGAAAAAAGAATATGAGCTCTGAAAAACCATACTTTAAATACTTTATTTAACTAAATAACATATAAAATACAGAGTTCTGACAAAACGAACAAACCTTAAGTTACAACCATATCTTTTCCCGAAGAAACAACCTTGTTAAGAAAGATAATGGTCATTATATTAAAACAAGCTGACAAAATATTCTCTATGCAGACTACTGTAAAAGTTATATTGTTTGCCTGTATGATTAATACTTACTTTTTAAAATAAACAAATGTATTTTATTATACTGTTTAATATTTTTAAGGGTATCTTGAGACTTAGTTTTAATAATAATAAAATTTACGCATGATTAAAATCAAAGAGAAAACAAAGGACAGTGAAAAGAAAACAGACAGTTAAAATTGATTAAATTTGAGACAGATTTTTAATACATGATTACAGTATCTTTAAATTAAAATCTTCCTAAAATGGTGAAATAAAGTGTTTTTGAAAAAAAAAAAAAAAAAATACTCAAATAAAAAGCTACTAAGCTACTAGAATTAAGTTTCAATTACAAACGTTAATTCCCATTTAAAAATTTAGTTTAAAAATAGCTGGTCTTTTAGATTACGATTTTAAGCAGTTAAATATGTAGATTATTTATTTTATCTTAAGGCGGATTCATATGCAAATTTATTATATTTATGAATATTTCACTACTAATACAACACATGCGCATTAACATAATGTATTATCAAAAATATTTAAGACAAAATAATATCAATTCTGGGAAATTAATTCATTGAATATTCTCATCGATGTAACAAAGATACGTTTATCATAGAATAGGGTCTACCGTTTGTTTTTATATAAGACTTCAAACACATTATGTCAGCATTGTTTTTGACATAGGAAACAGACACATGCTTAGCGATGCTTACATACTGATTTATTTTTGCTTTCTCAAGACGGTTGTTCTTCACACAACATCTATGTCATGTAAAATAAGAAGAATTCATTCGTGGTCGACATACTATCCGACTGCGAATGCTTTCTGTGCAAAAACCCTTACTTTATGCGAAATTCGCACATCGTAAAAAAATAAGAAATAGGAAGAAAAAAAGCTATAAATATATAGTTATAAGACAAATGTATAGAACGAAATGTGACAGTCAAATATACACTGGTGTATGTTCCTCTTTCACTTCAAAAACTGGATGCAGAAGTTGGATGGACATAAGCATAAAACGGAATGTCATCATAACCTGAAACAAAAATGGCAGAAAGACTGTAAATTAATAATAGTATTTCTGAATCACACAAACAGCTATTTTTGAAAGCAATAATAATATTCATTGCTCTGAAAACTTATAAATAAAGATAAAAATTGGTAATTATATTCATTCAAAATAACCTACAAGATATTTTTTTGGTTTTACAAAAATCTTTTTCTTGAGGAGCTGAATTAGGAACGAACTCTTGATTATATTCTTTTTTCCCTTGTTTTCCTAATTAATTTTTTTGCTCTATCAAAACTGAACAGAAACCTGTTCTGTAAATAAAATAACTTTTAAATGAATTTTTTATAAAGTAACTTATTATGTTGAAAGGCTACTTGTCTTTTTTCTATTCCAACGCAAGTTGTTTTATTATTCTGGGGTCATTTTCGGCATAAATTGATTTCAGCTGCTCTTTTAGAAATTTGTCGAATTTTCCTTTCACTTTTGTAGCAATGTTTAGGAGCAAATCATAATCATCCAGTGCTTGTGTAGTAATGTAATTCTTTCAATAATTAGTATGGCACTATTTCTGATAATTCTTTGTAGAATATCATTTAAAGGGAACTGAAAAAAAAATTGGAACGGTCTTGAAACTTACTGCTTTTTCTTTAACTTCGCTAAATGCTCTGCAGCATCTTCTCGATCATATTTTTTCTGCGCATTTTTATGAAAGCTACAGAAACTGGGCCAAATAAACTTTTAATATTTTTGACGTAAGTAAAGGATATGACCTATCTTCGACATGATCTTTCTTTGTGCGTGGATATAAATCATCACAGTAATAAGCAGCCAAAAGAATTCTAAATTAATAATAATATATCCACTGATATACTAATAAATAAAAAAATTCAATAAAAAATCCCTTAGGGAAGGAGCTTTTGTTATGTGGTTTGCGAATGCCAAAATTTTTAAATGAGCATTGTTGTGATTTAATTAAATCATTTAAATATAAACTCAAGGGCAGAAAATAATAGCGTGCGCGAAAATTCAGAAAAGCATAAAATTAAAAACACATAAACTAATAAATGAAAAGCATAGCAAACAAAAACTCAAATGCAAGCCAAATTAACAATTATAGTTGACATTTGCTTGCGTATGAGATTTGATATAATTGTGCAACAAAAGCTGACTACGGAAACCAAACTAACAT